CAATTGACATACCATTATATGATAGAAATCCACAGTGGTTTTTACTTCACTAGGTTCTAAAAATATCCATCCACATACTTCAACTCCATACTAATCATACCAATGACTTATGATGGCTATAAGCTCTAAATTATGATAATGGTCACCATTGTCAGAAATAATTTTTATCCAGTATAGGTGAGGATTTATAGTATTAAATACAGCTTCAAAATATGATACTGTAAACCATACATCCTGTTTAGTATCACAAGACCAATGATTGTATGCTTGAACATCTATTTCTTTATCATAATTTTTTTGAAAGAGAAGAGTTGTATAAAGTGTTTATCCTCTTTTTCCAAAGAATTCATTTTTTGTTTCTCAAGCTGTTATAGAAAGAACACACATTTTATAATCAATTATAATAACAGCTTCATGCTCATCTAATTCATTAATGCTACATTAAATTATGCATTTAAATATCTTTTTCGCGTCCGATAAGCCAAGTAACAGGTGAGTTTTTCTTGATATTCTGAAAGTAATGTATTGTAAGGATGGTTTAATATGTGAGAAAGTGTTGTAAAAACTTTAAAGAATTGATTACATGCATCACAACGTGAAAAGTGTTGTTCTTTGCATTCACCAAATGCATATAACAAATAATGTTTAATATAATCTACATAATTAGTTGTACCATTATTGTGTACTAACAATTCATTTTCATAATTTCTTTTTAGATGATGGCAAAGTAACTCAAGTTGAATTATCAATTCATTCTAATGGAATAATAGCAGATATTATTTATAATTAGCATTTTTATAAAATAAAATAATACAAGTAATTTGATCTTTTATTTACTTTATTTTCTTATTCATATCATTATTGTTTGATACTAACTTAATCAAATCTTCGAATAGTTGATAAGCATAATCATTACAATAGGGTAAAGTTCTTCTAAATCATCATAATATTTGAATCGTCTATTTTGCAAATAAGCCATAAAAGAAGTTCGCTTTATTCCATCAGAATATGTAGCTGAAAATTTCTTCCATAATGCACTTTTTTGGTCTTTAAGATAAAGAATAGGTAATTGTGTTTTTTTTGTTAATATAATATGAATTCATATTTACATTTGCTTTATTAGCAAAAAATAATTCAAATTCCCATTCCTTAATTTCAGCCATTTGCTTACAAACAATAATAGATTTATCAATTGCTTTGCATCCTGGGCCATTTTTATGATGATATTCACGAGTAGCATAAATTGTTTTTGGTAAAACCTAGGTAAAATTTATCAGATTACATATTTACCACTATGCATCATACGACATGTTTAATATTATCATACCTGTAAATTTTTCATCAATTCTTCATAAGTAAAATTCTCAGCAATTATTGATAAAATTCAATTTTTTCTATTTAAACCATTAGAATTAGCATCAAGACTTTTACAAAATGAATACCAAAAGACATTAGCAATACTTTATAATTTTTAAATTCTTTATTTCTTATTGTTGAATTTAATTTGGTATTCAACAATTCATTTAAATATAAATTGAAAATAGTTTCATCATCACTTCTGAAATCTTTAGCACAGCTCCAAAATTCCATCTATAGAATATATTTTTTATAATTAGATTATAAATAAAAAGCAATCTAATTTTTATAATATTTACATTAGATACATCTCCTTCAAACAGTGTAATATTTTTACATCCAATTGCTCCAAAAATTGTCCTTTATGCTCGAAGCTCATGTGTACCAATTTCATAATTATTATTATAAACGTTACAAATAAAACTTTTAACTCAATAATTGTATTTTTTTGATTATACCAACGATTAAAAACACATTTTCAAAGTTCTTCATTTTTAGGAGTATGTTTTTGTAAATATAATTTGAATATATGTTGCATGGTTTCTTTATTATTCCAATTATCAAGGATGCAGGTTTCAGAAAATATTTTTTCACATAGTTCTTGGGTTTTAGATTACACAAGCAGGTGGTTTATTCCAAAAAGATCATTACCATCATAATTTTGCAATAGTTAAGTTTGTTTTCAAACTAAAGAAGCTGATTTATCTTAAAATTGTTTTATTATTTTACTATCTTGAAAAATACTAATTAAAAATAATTCCTTTACAATCTTTTGCCAAATTACACTTTGTTTTTGTCTATACTTATGTATAAAAGAAGATGCAAACCAATCACTATTATTTTTATTTGAAATAGATGCTATGAAAATTTTATTATTACATGAACAAACTATAAAAGGATAAAAACTTACATTATCAAGTATTTGTTGAACTATATAAGAATTATAAAAACCTAATAATGTTACTTCTGGGTATTTTGTTTTACTTTGACCAAATGCTTATTTATAAGCAATGTTTATAGCATTAGAAGAGTTAGATAGAACTCCACTATTAACTCCTTCTCCTTCACAAATAAATCCTGATATATTTGGATTTTGTAAGTTACGAATTATTTTAATGGTAAAATATTTTTGATTGAGTTTAAAGTAACTTGAAAGCTAAGTCTTAACGAAATAAGATATATACTAGAATTTTCAGATTTAAAGTCAGAAAAGTACCACCAATCTCGCAAAAAAGACTATAATGAAGTTCTGGAACAAGGTTATCTACAGTAACAAGATTTTCAGGAGTATAGTGGCTTTTTGACATTTTTAAAATTGCAATTAGTTAGGAACGCGAGATTTAGAATAGGCTTATTTTAATTATAAATCATAACCCTGCAGTGATCATATAAATTTTCTACTTATCACGTGCGGATCAGCAATTAAATTTTAAGTTTATAAATATAAATTTTATTTTACTAATTATCCTAGAATTTATTTATATAACAAATTGATTTAACATTTCTTATCTTTTAAATTCTCCTTCTGACTTCAAAATCTCATTATTTTTATTATCAAAATTATATTGATTATTATAATCATAATCATCCTGTTCTATAATTTCCCAAATTTCACCACTTATTTCAAGAAAATTATGTAATATTATAGCATAATCAGCTAAATTAATAGCTGTTTTTAAATCTTTAACAAAGATTTCTTTTTAAAACCCTAAATCTAGCTTTCAATCTACCAAATGCATGTTTTACAACTACCCTATGTTTTGAATGAATAAAATTAAACTGACATTGCCTATGATTAAAAGGATTTTTAAAAGGAGATATCAAAAAAAGGGAAATTGGATATGCTAAATCACCTAACACATAATCTTCATTTTGAATATATTCTGTTCTATTAAGATAAAAATCTGAATTACTATAAACTTGTGCATCATATACTGATGCAAGCTATTATATAATTAATAAAAATTCCTTTAAAATTAACAATTTCTTGATATTGAATTGCTTATTTTTTTTCTTTGTAAAATATGCTGTTAGATCTTATGTTGGTGTATCATTTAAAATAAAATGAGTTCTATCTATAGCTTCTATAATATTTTGAAATCCACCAATATTTTGAAATCCTGTATGAATAACACTTTAATTATTGTCTTTAGGCTATTGAACAAATTCTGATTTTTTATTTTTTATTGCTTTTATTACACGATTAACATAAAGAATTACAGAACCTTCTGATACTTCAAATCAAGAACAAATACTCATGATATCATTTTTAGAACCAAATCATTGAAGAAATATTGCTAATTGAAAATCAACAGATGCTTGTGTCTTATTTTCTTTGTCTTAAAATATTATATCATACTGTAAGATTTGTACTAACCTATTAAATTGTTGTTTTTTCATTCTTAATACTTTTTTATATTGTATATCATCATATAAAGGTAAGATTTCATACCACCAATGTTTAGATTTAACAACATTATGTATTTGAGAAACAAGATAATGACTAGAAGACAAAGTATTTTTATTAGTTCATAGTTATCATCATCTAGTTCGTTTAGGTTTAGTTCATTTTTAAAAGAATCATCAATATTGACATATATGAATGCAATGTTTCAACAAATCTTTATTTATTCAATTTGTTACCACGATTTGTGAATAAATATGAGAGTTGTCGATTGGATAGAAGGCATTAATATTTCTATGTTCTAATAGCCATCAATAATCATTAATAGAAACTGTCAGGCAAATAACCATAAAACAGGTTGACAGGTGGACATTCATATTCGTCAGTCACAATAAAAGGATTCTTGCACCAAAATAATTCTATAGCCGAATGTCAGCATCTTAATTTAAACGAACAATGACACATTTAATGACTATATAAAGTGGAAACTAACTATTCATTTAATTGGAACTTTTATTCAGGTTAATAAATTCTATAATTTATCGAATTTAACATTTTTCAAATAATCATTATTGTAATCTGAAATATATGCACTAAACAAGTTTTAAAATTCGTTTCTTTTTCGGAGTAAAATGTGTTGGTCGGGCAAATTAAATTTTGAAATGTTTTGCATTTACTAGAGTATCTGAATCAGCATGAAATATCTTATTGTATGCATGATTCTGCTTTTTTGGATCTGGCAACAGCTTCGCTTTTTGTATAATGCTTTCCTAAGCAAAGAAAGGATGTATTTACAAACCAGGCAAAATGATAATTACTTACTTTGTAAAAATATAAATTTTTAAGTGCACCTCTAAGACATTTGATATTTGAGAGTTGTGCTGGAAAACTAAACGTTAAACCTTCTAAACCAAAATATAGACCATTATCCAAAAGATCGATTCCTATGATCTGACCATCTAGACCTTATTTTATGAATTACATAACCTTATTTGTCGACAACACAATCAAGAAAAACGCAGAGAGCCTTACCAGAAAATTAAATTCCAAGAATTTTTGAATCTTTAACATTATCATTTGATAAATCTTTCTTTAAGAAATTATCAAGAATGCATTTCTGTATTCACAGACATTTTGAACGAGTACCAATTGATTTCACAAGGGTAGGAGACTTTGCACATTCAATATGATTTAATTCAATTTTCTTAGATTTATGTACAATCCTTAAATCAATCTTTCGTCACTGCTCTGCAGTACCATTGGATAATATTTCCCCCCTATATAGAATACATGCAATTTGATATCATTGATTATACAAATATTGATAAAGTAATATGATAGCCTTACCAGCGAAGCTCCAGAATATCTAATAAATTATTAAATATATCATTCATGATTGGTCCAGTCATAAGCAATGCATATTCTATCTCACTAAGGTTTTTACGTTTTCCTTCTTCATCTGTAAACATAAATGAGTTTTGTAGGAATTTGTCGATTCTAACAACAAATTTAACAGTATCAGTTGCTGTCAATAACATAATTATCATGATTAAAGAAAATTTTTATATCTTACATATGAAAATATATAATAGCAATTTACTTTGCCATCTGAGAATTTTCATTTGTTTGGATTTTGTATAAATAATCACAAGCATCAATATATTTGTAAATATTACACAAGCGCAACCATTATTCTCTTCATCTAAGCATCATTCTGCAAATTGACGATTCACAATATAATCTTCGAAAACATTCACACGATGATTCTGATGATGATCATTATGATTCTAACTCAAATCTACAACTCTCTAGAAGTAGTCAACGATTATCTTTCAATCGATCATGAATGGACAAAATAAACAAATAGATAAGTAATCAAAGTAACGTGCATACATATTTGGAAATTTTAATAAGTGGTAACTTTCCTTTTCCACATTATTGACAATATCGCTAATTTCACCTTCAAAATGTTTAGGATTCATGTCAATGATTTTATATACTTTTGATTTTATATCATCTTTAAATCATGAATACATCCCATCACAAAATTCTGATGACAAATCAATTATTGATGATAGATCCAAACTGTATTTAGATGTTAAATATGTATGTCAGTAACCTATTTCCATATTTTATATTAACAACTATTTTAATAGTATTATGTAGGTCACATACCGGATAACACTTTTAATGTAAGGAGGTCGATTATTTTTTTCTTTTTCCAAAAAAGATTGATGCAATTCAATTAAGAACTTCAACAATTGAACGACCATCTTTCAATTTCCAAATAGATTCTGATTTATTTTTATTACGATCCATATATTCGTCAAATGAAAAAAATTTTATACTTTCATTTCTGCCTAAAAACAAATCACCATCACTTTCATCATCAGCACCATCACTTTCTGAAATATGCTTAATTGATTTTGAAAATAATAAATTAAGACAACCTATAATTGACATGATCATTCCACTCATATTAAACACAAAAAAGGGTACCACATAATCAACCTTTAGGTTTCCAGGAATTTACTTTGCACTTTCTGAATCAGAATCTGTTAATTGATCATAATTATCATCTGATTGTTCGTTGATATTACCACCATTTGAATTAACCTGACATCAAAAATAGATTAATATTAAGTACAACGTAAACAAAATAATCAGAAATGTAAGAAGTGAATATCAAATATAGAGAATTAATTTTCTGTGTGTGAACAGTAATGACAAAAATACTTACCTTTGATGCATCCAATTTGTTTAATGATATTCGTTTCTTCACTCTATTATTAGAATCTATTTCAGTAAAGTAAGGAATACTAATCATTTGTTCAAGTTATAAAGCAATGACATCCTTACCATTATAGTCTTCAAAAGTATGTTTCATAAACCTTTGACGGTGCTCACCTATTTTATTTATATAGGTTTTGTGCTCCAAAGTGTGATCCAATATAAATTAATGCTAAAAGGTGTCAAGCTACAGTTACTAAAATGAAAACTGAATTTGGGTTGAAATGCAATACTTACATTTAGACCTTTAAACTTGCTTCAAATTGTCTATCTTTTTTATCCATTTCAATTTGGTTCCAGAAATTGATTACTTGATTAGAAACCTTTTGTTTCTTTTAAGAAAAAAAAGACTATTAGTAACATATTAATAATTAATAATATTTATATGATGAGTATTCATGACCACATTGAACACAATAGATTATCAACACTCAGCCGAGAGCAACTTTTTATTATGATTGGTTAATAAAACTTTACTCAGATAATTGAGTGTTGTAATTTGGTGATGAATACTGGAAGGTAAAGGCAGCCAACATCGAACCAGATAGTTCAATCAAAATCTGACCAGATAGTTCAAATATTATGATGTTGGTAAGACCAGATAGTCAACTTGAGGATATTTGTGATCAGATAATCGTATTCCTCAAGCCTACCTTTACCCTGAAGAAAAAAAATAGTACTTAACTTCAAAAATTTTCAGTGCACAAACAGTTTTTAATTTTAATTCAGAATCTTTATTTGCTTTTAATGATTCGGTATAAGTATAGTACTCTTTTTGTTTGTTGGCAGACCAATTTTTCTCTAAAAGTCTATATCTAAGAAAAGTTATAAGAGACCAATTTAATGAATCAGAAAAAAAATTCATTTTCATTTTTGACGATCCGCGAATTAATTAAATTCTTTTATACACGTATTACTGGGATTAGGATTTAATGACCGAAAAATCCTAATTCCTCTATTTTTATTTTTTCTTATTTAATTATTATGTATTTATGATATTTGGGAGGTTTTGTTAGGAAAATGGGGCTCTGAGCATTTTTATGACGTCATTTAAAATTTCAAGATTTTGCCTCTAGTGTCATCATTTCCATTTAAAGAATCAAATAATCACGTGATCAAAATTGTTAATTTTTATTATATTATAATAGTGAAAATGATTAAAAAGTTTAAATAAATGATTAAATTTTAAATTTTAACTATTGTGAAGCTTTAGTGTGAAAAAAAAAAATTAAAACTTGAGATTGTTCCTAATTTATTCAAAAAATTAAAAAAATTACATAGTATTAAATTTTAAATGTGAGATGATCCTATTGCCATGGTTTCGCTTTTGAATACTGCTGTTGTGATTTCCTTTCTTTCCCTTTACCCTTCTTTGCAATTTTTTCCTATTGGAATAATAAATCTTGTGAATCATCATTTATTATAACATTTTCTTTTGTATGAGTTTTTTTTGTATGTTCTATATCAAATTCATCATTTTGTAATTCAGATTCTTCAATCCTGACATTTGTTGCATTCCCACTTGAATGGAATACTTTAATATACTGCTTAGTGATACCTGACAAAATTACCTTTTTTAATATGATGAAATTGACGAAATCAAAATGACGAAACCAGTTTTTATTAATGACGAAATTATATTTAACTTGATTTAAATTCCTTGAATTAAAATACATTAAAAAATATTAAAAAGACGAAACTTTTGACGAAATTACAATTTTTCTAAAAAGAGTTTAGTCAGATATTACTAATGCTGCTTTAAAAATATTTTTGTTGGAAAATATTTATGGAATTTTTGGCATATAAAACTATCATATGAATCCAGGGTAATACTAGAATAATATTCATCATAGCCTGGTAACTTTTATTAAAATATTTTAAAGTGTGAATCAAACTCAAAAAATGACCATTAAGACCTTATACAATAGGTGGTAAAAAACCATTGTTTGTGAATAAAAGATCATAGATTTCAGGCACACGTAGTTGTTTGCAACAATTTCGATCATTACACTTTCTTAAATCAAAAGAGTATTTGCAAATTTGGCTGTGTCTGTCAATCCAATCCAATGATTCTTCATTTATATCTAAAAAATCTGATTGATTATGCTCCTCAATATATGTTGCAATAACTGAATAACTATTAATATTGTCGCAATCTCAAAGTTCACAAAGACGCTCACCCGCATGTCTAAAATTATGATGTCTAATATACTCATCTATAACAGTAACTTTTCCATTAACACTTTCAAGGTAGTTACCATATGTAAATGTATTTAACTTGATATCTGCTAACTTTTCAAAAAGTGATGCCATACTCCGCTCAACTGAATTATATGCGGATTGTTCTAGAGCATGTGTTCGAATTGTGAAGTAATCTAAGTCAAGTTTTTAAAAAACAATAAGTACTTTGAGATATTTGCAATGAACCAGAGATTCTCATCTGACCTGCTATTTATTAATAAGTACCAAAATGGTTTTACAGAGCCTTTGTGATGTGTAAATTCATGAAAGGATTCTTTCTTTATAATTAACATAAGGTCTACTATGTGTGTCCCGCATGATGTGCCCAAAAAAGGTTCAGAACAAATAAATATTCTCATTTTACCAGAACGCAACGAACTATTCGTATTAGAAGGATCAATCATTAGATATATAGATAGTATCAATTTATATTTCACAGCCTTTGGAAAATCATGTCGGGAATCAATACTGGTTTATTTGTTATTTGTATAGTTTTAAAAGTTCTCCCAACTGCAGCCACACCAAGAGGAACCTCAAAACCCAAAATTAAAAAATGGAAACTTATATTGAAGAAAAGATTGCAAATAAATAAACAAATACCTTAGCTTTATCATCTTGCGAGATCAATACAACTTCTTTAGGAAAAGCCAATGCGAATGATTTTATACCCTTAACTGAAATCAAATAATAATATTCATCAATATGATTGGATATCTCATTTCTCCCAACGGATGCCAAACTGATTTGTGCAGAATGATAATATGGGAGCTTTGCTATTAAAAGTGGGTTCTGAGACTATAAATTGATTTTGAGTTAAATGATGATCAAAAAATAGT